GAACTGTGAATTACATAAGACACACACATTTACCAGGGATGTGCAGAATTGTATAATTGACTTGTCTGACTTAGGGAAGCCCAGTGTAATTACGATGGATTACTGTCAACACGTGTTTCTTAGGGGATATTCACATGAGACACTTTATTGTGTTAAAAAAAAAAACCCTGAGCAGCAAGCAATAGAATGGGCCAGAACCCAATGTCTTATCCATTTTTAAATTGATATGCCATTTTAATGACATACCATAAAAATGCAGCAGTCATAGTGTTAAATGCTGAAAAATAGCTTTGAGAAACTAGACAACAGACATAAACCTGTATCTGCACATGTACATAGACCAGTAAAAAAAAAAACAAATAGGCTACTTTTTATTATTTTATTTTCTTCTTCTTCTTCTTCATCCTAGTGTGTATCCTGCGTTGGTGCAGGGTCCACTTGTTTGCACGCCTTTTGTTTGCAGGACATTGCTTGCAGTTTCCTGGCAGTAATTGTCTTAATTTGTATTGAATGTGCTACAAAATCAGCATTTTGGTGGCATTTTAAAAAACGCAGTGGACATGGCGTGAGATGCTGAAAAAACTATGAGAGACCAGGCAACAGCCGTAGACCTCCATCTGCACATGTACATAGACAAATATTTTTCTTTTTTTAATTGTATCACTGACAGATATTCATCAAATAAAAAAGCTTATTTTATTTTGTTTCAACATACTGCTTATGTAAAGTAACTGGGACATAGCTCACAGCAGGCTGTCAGGTTTCCTGACAGTAATTGTCTTGAATTGAATTATTGAAGGCATTGAATTTTTTACAAAACCAGGGTTTTGATGGCTGTAGCTGCGATGCTTTCAAAGAGATGAATTTAGAGAAACCGCTTCACAGAAGGGATTTGTGCTGACAGTCTCACACGCTAAAGCACAGCACACAGCCAGTACGCCAAAATCCTTTCTGAGACATTGTGTCTCTAAATTCATCACATTTAAAGCAGCAAAACCAAAAATATGAAAGGGAAAGCATAAATTTGAAAGAAGACTAGATACAGTCAGCCTCAAATGAACTTTAAATTATAGCGGGTATGATAAATGATAGAGGCGTCTGATCTGATTCTTTGCTAATTAATGTCCTGAATCTCAAAGATTTTTAACCTCTTTATGCTCGACAATTAAAGCTTGACCCAAAGCCTTTGAGATCCTGAAATCTTTTTGTACCAAGCAGTCAGTGTTTGTATTACTTGAGGATTTGCAAATTGACTGATTTGCAAATCCGCAGCTTAATTAAATCTGCAGCTGAAAACAAAAAGCAAAGTGAAACTGGGGTTATTGCTTAGTGTCTAATTATGTTCCCTGTTTATCCCCTTTTGATGTTTCTTTTTCCCTGCAGGTCACCCGACCACACCCAAGTGATCATCCACTCTTATTTCTCTTCCTGGTGGGCGGAGTCACACCATCAGAGCTCCGCCTCATTCGTGAAGTTGTCTCCACCCATAAGTCATGCACTCAGGTGGGATGTCACACCCCTTTCTTGACTAATTCTTTATCTTTTACACTATAGTTTAAAAAAAATAGGATGCATAAAATGCAGTAAAAGTGAGAGTAACGGAATTTCTGATGTTACAAATAATTTCTATTTCAACTAAATTAAAATACCCCACCTCTCTTTTTCTCCTTTTGTTTTTCTCTGTGGCTCTCTGCTTTTTTTTCTGTATCGTTTACTCAGACATGATAGGAGTGTGTGTGTGCATATCTGCACTTGTGTTTGTGAATGAATAGAGATGTAACTGGGTCGAGTCAGAATAAAAGGAGTTTTGTTGATCAAAGTTTCATGTCATGAATAAATCAAACATAATTAAAGCACAGAGTGGACCCTTATAAAATAGAAAGCCCACCCTAGCCTGACCTGTGTGTGTGTCAGAGACACACTGATGGGAATTTAGGGTGTCTTGTACTAAATGAAGGTGCACCACACTTGACTAACAAGACGGCCAGGGGAGAGACATGTAGCGAGGGTTCTGTAAAGCCCGTTTGAAGTGATTTTCTAAATGAAGTTCTCAGACGAGCTAAATGATCTTCATCTTTCCATCAGAGAATACAAAGCATGTACTTACCTCAGCGCATGCGTCAGCACGTGCAGTAATATTCTGCCATATTCATCTTCAAGACCTGGCTAATAACATACAAGCTAATAATCTTGCCGAGCCAGACTTTTGGCTGTTGCATCTAGTCTGGTCCACTTTGCAGATTATTATGGCTCAAACTCACCCAGATAGATAGGAAGAGACTAGCTAACAAATACAACCAACTTGTTCTTAAACCTTTCTACCGATTGCCTTGTAAAGTTTTTTGTTTGTTTGTTTGCTTGGTCAGTTTTCTCTTTAGTCTTTTCTTTTAGTTGCCCTGCACAGTTTTATGTAGTTTTATGTTTGTTTAGTTGCTTTTATTCAGCAAGAATGCATTAAATTGATCAAAAGTGACAGTGAAGATATGCTATTTCTTATTCAAATAAATGCTGTTCTTTTGAACTTTCTATTCCTCAAAGACATCTGGAAAAAAATAGTTTCCACAAAAATATTAAGCAGTGCAACTGATTTCACTATTGATAATAATATATAATTTTTCTTGAGTACCATATTAACATATTAGAATGATTGCTGAAGGATCATGTGACACTGAGGACTGGCTACAGAAAATTCAGTTTTGCTATCACAGGAATAAATTACATTTTAAAATATATTAAAATAAAAAGTTATTTTTAACTTGTAATAATATTTCACAGTATTACTGTTTTCACTGATCAAATAAACAATGTTTTTGAATATTTTCAAATCATTAAAAAAATCTTACCGACCCCAAACTTCTGAAAGCTAGTGTCTTCAGCCTTTTATTTATTAATTTTTTTTTTTTTTTCATTTATTTCTCTATTTACTACAATTCAGGTCATAAACAATCTGTTTAGTTTATAGCTGTTTCTACCTCAGACATTTTGGCATTATTAACAGTTCCTGCCTGTTTCCCTGATCCCTGTGTTGTTTTTACCCTTTATAGTTACTGCAGGGCTGCTAAAACATCACACATAAATAGAGGTGAAATAGCACAAAGTTTACTGTAAGGGGTAGGTTTAGGGGTAGGGTTGGTGTAGGGCAATAGAATATACGGTCTGTACAGTATAAAAACCATTACGCCTATGGGATGTCCCCACTTTTCACAAAAACAAACGTGTGTGTGTGTGTGTGTGTGTGTGTGTGTGTGTGTGTGTGTGTGTGTGTGTGTGTGTGTGAACTGTCTAATCTATTTCTTTTGTCTTTTCTCAGGTACTCGTAATATCCACTAGGCTGCTGAGACCTTCCGATGTCCCTCACTTACTCTTCCGCACTGACAGGCTCAAACCTGACATTGGAGTGTGAAGGGACTGAACACACACACCTTCTGGCTGTTGAATCAATTCTTTCCAGCATATTTTTCCTTTTGTCTCAATTTCAGAGGCATTCGATAAAAAACAAATCATGCATTTAAAAATGTTTAAGGAATATACAGAACATGCTTCTGTTCCTTATAAATACAACAACATCCCATTCCAATTATTTCACATTTTGTTGTCTTACCATTTTCCCTTAAAGTCCCTCAATTTTTTCCCTTTAAATAAAATCTTTATGGTTGGCCTTTTGCCCGTGTGTAAAACTGATGTTTGTTAATGCAGCGTGTAAATTTCTACAGTCACATTTCACTGTTTTTTTTTTTCATGCCGTTTGCAAATACAGCACATTCTGCAGTTCAGTTCTTACAATCAGCCATGTGTTGATTCTCACAGGAGCTTCCCTCTTCATCCTTCACTCACTTCAGTGCTGCTGGAGGAGTGACAGATGGGAAGAGGGCAGAGGTCAAAAAGGGTGGTGACATCCTTTCTGTTCTGCCTTCACTTTCTCTCACACACACATTTACTCAGCCATCTATAAAGACATATTATAGGCCACTAATGTTTTTTATAAAACAAAGCTAAGTAAAAATCTATTTATCGTAGATAAATCTAACCTTAACTTTTTGAAAGTTTAGAATGATGTTTCAAAAGAGACATTTTGTCAGTAAACACATTCCTATTCCTCAAAGTATAGCGAAGTAAACACGCTGTAAGCTCCATGCTTTTATATGTGTATCTCTTACTCATATGAGATTTGACTTTGTGTTTCGCATTTGCCACAAACTATTACCCCAGCAGGTGTCTGACAAAGATGCTAAAACACCTGAAATCAGTTATGTTCCTCTAAATTCAGGGTTTTTTTTACACCTTAATCCCTACATATGTGTATTTGTCTTGTTAAATGTCTATTTAGGGTGTTGGTAGTTTTATTGACTGTTTACCATGTGGGAAACATCAGCATTAAAAATATAGTAAAGCATAAACTAAGAATGCTTGTTTTATATACACTACTAAGATTTTTTTCAATGTCTTCTATGTCAAAGTCTCTTATGCTCATCAAGTATAGATTCATTTGTTCCAAAAATGGGTAATATTTTGAAAAAATATTAGATTTAAACTCTTTTTTTTTGTGATAATATATTTTAAAAAGTAATTTATTCCTGTGATGCAAAGCTGAATTTTCAGCATCATTACTCCAGTCTTTGGTGTCACGTGATCCTTCAGAAATTGTATATGCTGATTTGCTGCTTAGGAAACATTCTTATTATCAATGTTGAAAACTGTAGTGTTGCTTAATATTTTTGTGGAAACCATGATACATTTCTTTTTCTTTAATGAATAGAAAGTTCAAAAGAACAGCATTTTAAAAATAGAAATCTATTTAGACATTATAGATGTCTTTACTGTCACTTTTGATCATTTTAATGTATTTTGCTGAGAAAATTTATTTATTTTTAGTACTTTACCATATTGATGTATATACTGTAAAAATGGTGGTTACATTTTAAACAATATCATACACCTGATCTTTCGAGGCTTCATTAAACGAAATTCAACTAAATTAACTTTTACATTTACAGGTCGGTTTAAACAGAATGAATGAGTGTGCTTATACATTCAGACACAAAGTATTTTTGTAAAAACAACTCTTTATTTCCAATCACAATCAAATAACATAAATAAATAACTCTGAGCTTCAGCCCTTTGGCTTTTTTAAAGTGCATTTACACAAGAAGAATCTCTTCTACTCCACTATAGAAAAGTGGCACAAAGCACAGTTACACAAAACCAGGAGAAACATTCTGGCCTTGTACACAAGAGTAGGACTGTAAAAGATACACGCACACACTCTCTTTTTATACGCTTAGCTTGAGTGTCTTGTCGTTTAACAATGCCTTCATTCAGACCGTAAAAGCCTTGACCACAAGAAGAAACAAAAAACTCTCCCATGCCTTTCAGAAAAGCAATTCTTAAAATAGTCTGTTTTTGCAGCCTTCACCATCTCTGTTGCCAGTAGAACGTGTCTTAAAATTTCACAGGTAAGGCAGAGTGTTAATAATAGTGTTTTTGTGTGTTCCATTCAGTCATTCTGTCTTTGCACTGTCCCTCTGTAAGGAACTAAGACCACGTCTCCCAGAATCCTGCTGTGTCCACAAGGATATAAGTGACAGGAACACAAGTGTCCACCAGCACTGGTGAAAATGTAAGACTTCACCTGACTCTGCTTGTTTGTTTGTTTTTCAGCAACCATGACAAAATCAGAGGTCTAGTTTCAGGGGCCTCTGATTGGAAGCGGTCTGCTGATCATCAACGGATCTCAGGAACTTCCAAGGAGCGAGACCTATACATTCAGAGAGATCTTCTCTTCTCTCTTAATCCTGCACTTCTGTTCTGCTTCTCCTGCTGGTATTCGAACCCTCTTCACACTGAAGTGACAGTACGGACCTTGGCGGACAGCACCTGTTTGAAGCGCCTCTTCAGATCCTGCATGTTGGGGGATTTGGGCCGGGGGATGAGGGGAGATCTTTTCTTCTCTGTTCCAGATGAAGCTGCATTGACGGGGGTCTGAGGCTGCTGCTTAGCCAGATCTATGCACAGTCTGTGGAAGGCGCTGTGGACCTGGCTGTAGTCCTCGCTGGCGGACACCTCGTAGAAGGAGCAGCCCAGCGCTGAAGCCAACAGGGGACCTTCTTGAGCATCTACATGCCTTACGTGGAGAAGATCGGCTTTATTGGCCACCAGGATGATTGGCAAGGACCTATCCGTAAGGGTGCGGGTAACAAGCTGGTGGAGCTGGCCAATGAGATCAAAGCTTCGGCAGTCGGTAACGGAAAAGACCATAACTACGGCGTCTGCCCACTGAATGGAGCGAGATACCTGGTCAGTGCAGCTCAATCCATTAGCGTTCACCTGAAGAAAAAATACAGACATTTGTCAGTTATGCAACACGTTTGGTTAGTCTACACATTTTCTTATATTACTGAATAGTGTGAGCTCTGTGGGTGATAAAGTGTACAGCAAAGCTGACTAAGAAGCTGGAACAGTATAATTTGCTATTGGCTGCGATTGTTTTCCACAAAAACGGGAGATTTAGCCGGCTAGACTTACAGAGTCTTTCACTTTAGTCCAAAAAGAAAAGGCATTCTGTGGTTTTGGACGACTGCCTGCTTTGGGAAATGAGCCTTGCATGCCAAACTTGGCACTAAAATATCTGACTAAAGACATCTTTGGAGCTGGCCAATGAGATCAAAGCTTCGGCAGTCGGTAACGGAAAAGACCATAACTACGGCGTCTGCCCACTGAATGGAGCGAGATACCTGGTCAGTGCAGCTCAATCCATTAGCGTTCACCTGAAGAAAAAATACAGACATTTGTCAGTTATGCAACACGTTTGGTTAGTCTACACATTTTCTTATATTACTGAATAGTGTGAGCTCTGTGGGTGATAAAGTGTACAGCAAAGCTGACTAAGAAGCTGTAACAGTATAATTTGCTATTGGCTGCGATTGTTTTCCACAAAAACGGGAGATTTAGCCAGCTAGACTTACAGAGTCTTTCACTTTAGTCCAAAAAGAAAAGGCATTCTGTGGTTTTGGACGACTGCCTGCTTTGGGAAATGAGCCTTGCATGCCAAACTTGGCACTAAAATATCTGACTAAAGACATCTTGAAAGAAGTGGCCTGTAATTGAATTAAAAGCCATTCTCTAATTTTTAAAGCAGAGGGATAATTTAGATGGGCTGGTCTACTGTAACTGTTCCGAACTGCTTATTCATATCCTAAACCCGCTGTGCACTGCTGAAAAAACCTCCCAACCGCTGCTACAAATATCCCACAGCGCTGCAGCGAATCATTCTTTGGAGTCGGATCTTTTTAATTAACCGGTTCACAAAACCGATCTTAACGATTCGTTCGAAACTCATTGTGAATTAGTTTTAATCATACCATATTAACCAGTTGGTTTTGTATATGTATCTTTTTATTAAAATATGCAAAATCTTTTTATCCGTTGAATTTTAGCATTGTTCAAATTGGGGCCTGTGAAATTACAATAAATGCCTTTATCAATAGCACTTTTAGGGGGAAACATTACACTAATGGTCACTTTTTGTAAACGCCTTGGAGCTTGTAAGATACCACGCCGCGAAGCCGTAAATAACCGCTGAATCATTTTAACCTGTTCTGTGAACCGAACTGTTCAAAAGAACCGATTCGCTTAAATAATTCGGGCTTTCCTCAAGCTGCAGTACATGAACGCGCTGCCCCATAAAAGAGTGCAACAGCAGGCTTCCCGCTGGCCAATTAACCCCAAGTGTTAAACACAACCCCGGAGAAACACAAAAGAAGAGCTAAAAGACAAAGGCGAAGGTATGCGCTCTTTCTACACTTCTCACCCGTGAAGAAGCAGCGTGGGAAAGATGCTCTGTATGTAACAGTAACAAATGTGACATACAATCGCATAAAGAACAAGTGTGTTCCTGTGTCGCGCATACTTACTTCAACTCCAGGTGTGTCTTGAACTTGAATGGCCACTTGTTCTCCGTCTATCTGCACTTCTCTGTTGTACAGGTTGCCTGTAATGCAGCAATGCAGACTTTTAACAAAAATTGACAACATCACTAATGAGTTTAAACGATGCATAGCCTACTAAAATCAGTCGTCTTGGAAAGATGGGGGGGGGGGGGC